GAAAACCTAATACATCGGTCGACCCCCGGAAGGCGTTACGTGGTTATCTTACTCAATATGTAGGTCGTGATTGCGAGAGGGCAAGAATTCGTTTTCATCCCCAGAAAGGATCTGATCGACGGCGGAACTCTCATTCCTTTTATCCTTCAAACATTCTATAATTGAGCGCATTCGCAATTAGTAAGGGATCACTTTGCTCATTTTCCAGCCATGCCTTCAACTACATAATCAGCTCAGTGCCATCAATTTTCACAACGTGATCTCTGAAAATCTGAAAATCTTCAACTGACTCAAAGTCTCAAACTGACAGTCAAGTCTCCTTTTCCCTAAAAAATTTCCTGTGATGTGAACGGAGAATTGGAAATAAGGAATAAGATTAATCTCACAAGCACAGTCGGTAGTGTCGGCTCTCATCCGAGCTATTCAGACCGGTGTTCTACTTTATGGAAATGGTGTGCAGGGAGAGGTGAAGTGACAGCGAAAAGTTGGACTCGATTCGAGTGTGGGACTACATGTATGTTAAATATCATTTTTTTGCGAATTTTGGATCAGGTGTTTTATGAGTAGCCAGTGAGTCTTGATAGCCATTTCGAAAAACTGCTGAAGTGTGTCTTGAAGACACAATGAACCACAGGACGACCTGAACGTGAGTGGGGTTCGATTGCGAATGATGCAAATGACTCCATACCTATGTAAGGTAAAAAGCAGCTCCAATCAATGCCACTTTTATTCTGGAGCGCAGGTTTCTGAATATTCCACGAGCGCACTCTGGAGAAACGATAAGCATCAGGGGAGAGAGTCGAAATGCGAGTTGTGGTTTTGTTCAGCGCTTACAGCAGCTGCTGCACGACACCGGAGGACTTGTTTCAGAGGACGAAGCTCGTTCCAAAGGCAGAGGCCCTGCTCCTCAACCAATGTTCAAGTACGCGAAGACGGCCCAACATCTGCATGGTGGTAGTAGTATGCGAGAACAATCATATCACGGTTCGAGCTCAGGACGCCCGATAGCCCATTTCACACCATATCGCACACTTTCCAGCCCCCCCCTCCGGGGAAGGTTAATTGGTCTGTACATCGGCTGGTCTCCACATGCCATTACATAGGCCACATCGCATTCAATGAGCAACTACGATTCTGAATGGAAATAGAATTCCAAGGATTGATTAGCGGCTGGGACTTTATCCTTTTATTTATGCTGGCTGTGATATGTTAATATAGGCATCACTGAGCGCTTAGGTTTTACTTCACGTCACTGCTCTATTCTTAGTGATTTCAATGAAAACCATCATGCTAGTAAAACAATTACCAGCTGGGCACAAACAGTTTAACAAACGGGCATGAATGCAAGTCTGAGCGGACAGTTCTTTTTATGTTTCCTCCTACTGATACAACTGAAAAATATTTCAAAGATCTGGCAATTACTCTATTAACAGGCCTATTATCCTCTGGCCGACTTCGTCATTCGTTTATGCCACGCCCTTTACATCCTCGTAATTCGTAATGTACTGTAGCTTGTTAAAAGGGAGTAGCGTCATCGAGCACTTTAATACAGGGTAAAGCACTGACTGAGTCCCATCGGAGGGGGGGTCCCGTACTTGAATTATGAGAAGAGGTTCTGGTCTGGCCTTGAGATAATTTTTGCGTGCACGAGGGGAATTTTTTAGGTTGTTCGTTTTCCATATTTCACGCGCACAACACTTCTCTTTTCATTTTAGTTGACAACGCCCCAAAACTCCTAGTAAATCCCTATTTCTGGTGATGGTTGACTGGGGAGCACTCCCACTTCTTTCTCCCAATGCACTTGATGGCTGTTTTTGTGAGAAATTGGCAAACTTTTGGAAAATCGCTACGGAGTTGGGAGAATTTGGTAGGTGGGAGGAGAGCGTAATGGACCAGACGGTGCTTGCGAAATCGCACTGGAAGTGGAAACTTGGGTGGGGGAGTAGACGTACTGACACGGCTATTTCACCCATCCCCGATGGTGTACCCTGGCTGAGAAGTTACCCACTTTAATTCTGCGCTTAGTCACAGTCATCACTGCAGCAGACGCTGGGGCTCGTCGGGAAGCTGGGTTTGGCTCGGCGTCTTTCGGTATCCCACTAACTGTTGGCTTGAACGGTTCCCAGTTGTTGAAGAAAGGCTAGCGCCGCACCAAACTAAGCCGACCTGACCGCTCCAGCTTTTTAAGCATGGACATACCTCCAACGACTGTATACCCATGCCCGAAAAGCTATTCGTTATTTCTAACCCGCTCTTCTTGAGAAAAGCCATTTTCACAACTAATAAAACTGTTTTATATATTACTGATAGGTCGTGTTCATGCTTGTTTGGTTTCAATGGATTTTCGTAGCCGTCAACCTCGTCTCTCTTCCACTTTATCTACTGATTCTCACTGTATGCATCAAAGAATGGAACCACAACACCGTTCAGAAGTCGTTTTATTCACTTATAATTTCTCAGGTTGGATATGAACCCCTTTGCAATTTTTCTTTACTTCTTGATGTTTTCTTTCTTCTTTTTCATCTGGAGAGTTTGTAATGTCAAGCCCTGCTTCTTTGTTCGCAGAGAAAAGGCTTGTTGACGGTAGTGGCAATAGGGAAAACCTTGACAGCTCGATTCCATAAGTTAGTGATAGACAGGAGAGTCAATGGCTCACAAGTTGAAGCAGCCGAGATGAAGTTAGAGGAGAACAGGGGTCCCTTTGTGAAATGGTAAAGGAGATACAGCTCGCCAGGGAGAAACGGCCCTATTTCCTCTCCAAAGTGCATGGCAAGGGCTCCAGTGGAGCAATTACCTGGTATGTGATTTCATATAAGATATACATGCTTACAAAGCTGCAACCACTGCTCTGCGTGGCGATGGGATTTCGGCTTCCCGTAATGGGTCGGCCATGTGGGAAGATATGTCTGGTTCAGCCATACCGGGTTCTCGCTGAACCCTGCGGTCATTGGAGTGATACCAAGGCTTACTTTTGATATGAATGACCATTCTTAAGAGAATTGATCAATTCTTATATAACTTTCCACTCAGATGCTTAAGAGCCTCGTTTCAACAGTTCCAGCAGCATCCATTGAATTGCAGTGATTTGAACGAGCCTACCTAAATCTAAATAAAAATCAAACTACTCCCTGAGAGGGCGGTAAATCTACCTGATCAGCTCTGGTTTTAGAGAGCCAGAGCAACCCAGTCAGGTAGATTTGCCCCCTCTCGGGGAGGAGTTTGGCTTGCAGGATGACCGTGACGTGCTCATCTCTCGGGAGACTTGCACAACTCCCGAAGACAGCCCGTTCTTTGGAACCGCCTTAGGCTGATTTCAGTGCGGTACTGCTCGCCGCAGCATAACCTAGGGACCCCATTGGTACACATTGTTTACGTATTACAGTGACTTTTCTAGAATCCAGCTGAAACTGGTATCCTTTTCTGCCCATTTTTCACGATGTCGGCCGAAACTCGATAGACTTTTTTGTTCTAATGAATAAGTATAGGACTCGATTATTTTATTACATGTTTTACAACATGTGGGATGAACAGCAAATCTATAAGGGAACAAAAAATGAAAGAAACAAAAGGTTTCAATAGGAAACACTATCGAACCTCGGTATCGAAACATGACCAGGGCAATTTGACTTCCCATAGACGAGCATCACAGTAAAACTGCGTGATACAGGAGTTATATTAGGTTGGTGCATAAGTTCTTGGCCACGTGTTTGATCCTTCCGTATTTCGTTTGCATGGATGTTGGTATATCGTCATCACGTGTGCGTGACGTGGGCACTATACTCTTTTATCACACTAGCTATCACTCACCCACCTTGCATTTGCAGGCCACAATGTCGCACAATTTCCACTGTGACAAAATGTACCTGCGCCACTGCCTGGTTTTGCTTCACGATTCACAAAAGAAGTTTCACTTTCTCAACTCGATGATCACTGGAGATGAGAAGTGGGTCCTCTACGATAACCCTGTGAGGAAGCGGCAGTGGGTCGACAAAGGAGAACAGCCAGAAGCCACCCCAAAGGCCGACCTTCACCCCAAAAGGTTGGTGGTCCAGAAGAGGCATGGAGTACTGGGAGCTGCTGGAGAAGGGACAGACGATTGACGCTTCCACATACGTGACCCAGCTGCGGAAATTGAAAGATCACGTCGACCGTACTCGTGGATCGAATGCGGAAATCTACTTCCACCATGACAACGCCCGACCTCACACTGCAAAGGCGACCCAGGCCGAGCTGGAGAAGTACGGATGGCTGATGGTCGCCCACCCTCCTACAGCCCTGACCTCGCTCCTTCTGACTACTGGCTGTTCAGCCACCTGCAGCGCTCTCTGGACGGAAAAAAGTTCGAAACAAAGGATCAGGTCAGAAAGGCGCTCGACGACTTCTTCAAGTCCCAGCCTCCGTCGTTCTGGAAGGTCGTTCTGGAAGGATGGAATCGACAAGCTGCCTGAGCGCTGGCGTCGAGTAGTGAATGGTGATGGTGCATACCTCTAATCTCCAGGCTGGTTCGTTTTTGAGATATTTACAAAAAAGTCGTGTATAAGAACTTATGCAACAACCTAATAGGCAAGTGACGAGCAGGTGCTGCGTGGCTCTTTTCCCCGAGGAAAGTGTCCCTACAGCGCTCTATCAAGCTAAAACATACCGACCGAACACCCACCGCGTCCGCCGCTGCGGTGCTGCATGGACATATCAGTACATACATGCAGCCGGATCTACCGTAACGGTTACTGGCAAAATGCCTACGGGAAATTTTCCCCAGCATATAGCACCCCTGCTACCATTCAAGATTGAGTACAAAATTGTGCGCCTTATGCTTTTGAGGGGACATTCGCCAAGACTGACGAGTAGTCGGCTCAGATACTTCCTCGCCCAGGCTGTCACTATGATTCATATTTATTGGATGGGTACTCCTCTGGGGGAGGAATATTGAGAGAAACTATCCCCGGGCAATAAGGTCAAATTCAAGTATAAATTGAACTGTGGAGGGTAGAGAGCGTATCATGCCAAAATCCATCCAATTCATCGTTCTAGTAATTGCAAAACATGAAGCTGCACTGTTGAAGGGAATAATGGATATCCTTCTGATGGCAAGCCATACATTTTTCGGGACGTTACGTGTATCACATTTTCTCGAAGACTTCTTTTCGCGTTATCAGCACTACTTCATAGCGACGTGGTGTTTCAATGAAATTTATGTGTCAATATTTCTACGATGTTTCGGTGTATTACTGATCTCATTCCAAAGGTACATTACCATATGCAGAAATGAATGGAAAATTGAGCAGGTAGAGGATTTTTATGCTTGACACCTTGCCTTCGGTTTTTAAGTCAAATCCGATCGTTCAGGTAATTAATAGATCCCATCGATGGGTTCTACCATTTTTGCAGTGGACTGTACCATTACTCTATTCAATCCCTCTTCTCGTTACAGCCAATGCAAGCTTCAGGATTAGAAAGAATGTTGAGGTGGTAGTACGAAGGCAAGTTATTACGGTAAGTGAAACTGGAATGAGTTTGCAAGAACTATGTGGGAAGGGGTTGATAACACAGACATGTACTATAAACAATCGGCTACACGTGGAATGCTTGCTCTTCTGAGGACAAAAGTGGACCAGTGACGGTCCAACCCTCTCCCCCACTGCCCCCCCCCCCCTTGTCTTGGAAAACTTGGAATCTCAGATTAGAATAGGGGGTTTCCAATACGTCCCTCCGACCATATGCAATGTGACGTATACAATCTTGGCTGAGCACAAATGTTCCATTGAAATTTGAGGAACGATTCCATAAACGGAGTGAAAGGTTTTCTCCCTGCTTAGTTGTTTTCCATGCTGTCGCGAGGAAACGTGTCTTTACATAAATGTGGAGCTTTACACAGGTAAATTTTAGTAGGGCGCAACAGGTAGCGAGAGCGTTTTACAAGCAAGAGGTCCTGGGATTGGTTCCTCGGAGGCTGACTTTTTCTTGCATTTTCCTACACAGGCTTATATATTCTCTCTGCTAGCTGTAACAGAACCTGCGATCAGTTTTCTTGAAAATGTAGACCCAGTAGAGCCTGAAAGAGTTCTTGTACTGTCCTCTAGTGAGGCTGCGTTCACATTTGCGCACGTTCCACACCGTACCACTACTAACATCCACCGCTTCGGCATCTCGCAGCGTGAGGACTGGAAAATATAGATTGATATAGCGTCTGCCAGCATGCACCAGAATTCCAGCGTTCGCCAGCGTCTCCAGCATCTACCGGCCTCTCTAGCCTCTGTCTCCCAAAGTTCGCCAGCGTTCTACCACGTTTACCCTCTGTCTCACATCTCTCTCCATCGCCGCCATCTTCTTTAACAGCAATCTGTGAACCTCCTACCTCCCTATACTCTACCAGCTGTCCGCTACCTTCCTATGGGCCATATTCTTCTCAAGCAGACAGACCCTTCTATCGCGGCGCCATACTATCTACCAGCAGTCTGCCACCCTCTTGTCTCCCCATACCAGCTGTCTGGTGCCCTCCTACAGCGCCAACTCTCCTCTTCCAAAACGCGGGTAGACGCTGGTGCATGCTGGCACACGCTGGTAGACGCTAGGTCGATACCAATACTTCCCACGCCCTCGAGACGCTGGTAGACGCTGGCAGACGCCAGATCGATATCCATACATTTGAAGCCTTTCGCTTGTGATGACAACCGGCAAACAGTACGCCAGGGGGACGAGGATTTGCTCCTTTTTCTACTTCCCATCGACCTGCAAGCCATCAGGCGAAGACCTGTGAAATCCTAGGCTGCGTTCATACTTCTCAGCGTCGTCTACAAGCTTCCACCAGTGCCATCACCGTTTCGAGCGCACGTCAGCGTCAGCGACTGAGAAGGAGTAGATATCGATCCAGCGAACGACAGCGTCTACCAGCCTCCACCAGCGTCCATCAGCAACCAGGATAGAAAGGGAGGTATGGGTGTAGAGGGAGGAGGCCAGTTAAATTAGGCATCAATAGAATTGTGCGTTTTGCCACCGCCACCGTATTACCACAGAGTACATACGTCTTGGACGCTGATGCTGGCTAGTGGACGCTAGTAGACGGTAGATCGACATCCATACTTTCCTCAGCCCTCGAGACGCTGATGGTCGCTGCCGCAAAGTATGAAGGACTCTTATGCCATGAAGTGATACAAGCCAAACGCTTTGGAGACCAACTCTTGAGAAACATTGTACACCTTTCCTCCCTGCTCCGTCCCCTCCCCACTCAAGCCGAGCCGCTTCTGAGATCACCTTGTACCACTCACCCACCATACATTTTCGTCTTCCACTGCCCTTTTCCTTTGGCAGATCATAATAAAATCACAAAAGCAGACAAATCTGGCAGTTCATTCGTTCTTTAAAAGTAAAACCTGTAAGTTTGGCAGTTCAATATTACTCTCTTTAGCTTGCTACTTCCATGGCCGTTTTTTTCGTCTCCACTACTTTCACCCTGTGCTGCCTATGCTATGGTGCTATATTGAGATTTCTGATCAAGAACCGATACAGTGAAAACCTGTTAGTTTACACTACTCGCAGTCATAGCAGAATATTTGCTCATAGTTCCTGAAACTTTCAGTGCTATTAAACGAGAGCGTCGACTGTACATGCAGATGATGGGGCTTTTTATCGGATTTGTCCTGTTCTTTATCTACAGTACTATGCAGTTCACATTTTCTTTACAAATCAATGTCAGTAGGTTGTTTTTTTGTTGAATTTGTTAGCGAGTCGAACTTCATTCGTGGTACAAAACCGAACATAATGTGCACTGAGGGAATTTTTATATGCTGACTATTTGAGTCATAAAAAATTTTCAGTCAATTTATGCTCTGATTCTACCGCCTGTCAGAATATAATAAGCATGAACTTTAACATTGCCTATGTTGTGGAAAGTGATTCAACCCTAAATGGAAAATGATTCATGGACATTTTCTAAAGAAAATATTATCGATCAGATAAAACATTTTCGACCTCTAAAAAATTTTGAAAAATGCGATTCCATCCTTCTTTTCTTTACTTTTGTTTTTCTCTCCCTTTCTGATTCAGAATATTTCCTAAGCCACGTGGTGCACTTTGCCGTGCACTGTGATCCTACGCTCCTCAAAATTTTCACCCTTCTGCAACCTCCTTTCCTGATTTCACGTACTTTCTCTGTCCACGAGCTCCTAGCAATCTACTGAAGAAAATTTCCGCTTTCCTTTTCAGTAACCAAAAACCTTTTTTCAAAGCAAGTGCGACTCCCTAAGTGCGACCCCTGCGACTCCCTCTCGACTTAAGATGAGCTCCTTCTCGCTGGGAATCCCTAACGTACAAATCGCCCCTAATTTTGCCAGAATGATTTTGCTCATTGACCAGAAGAAACTTTTTCAGGATTCTTCTATTTACGCAATGAGGATCGTATATCCACTGATTAGCTGCTTCTTCTCCTATGTAAACGCTTGGACGATGTTTATACTTAATGGCGACAATTCGGCATAAAACCTTGTCGCTAATAACATGTGGAGCAGTACGTTATAAGGTAATCTCAGAAAATATTACACTAACTTCCTGTTATCGGTCTTCACATTGACGAGAGTGAATGATGTCGCAGCCCGTCACGTGCGTGCCTTTCCCCGCGGAAGAAAGTCCCCGCGCTCAACCAATTCTTTTCTTCCTTCCCTTACAGCTTAGACTGGTGCTCACTCTTTAGCTTACTTTTGCGACCCTAAGGACAGTTCTGATGCCTCCCTACCGTTCCGCCCACCACCAAAATCAAAAGCTATTTCTGCCCGAAAGCATTTTCACAGTTTCCCTTCTTCTTCCTCATTTTTAGATGTGTTAGCATGGCATGAGCGGCAGAAAGATTATATGACAGTAGATGCTGGCAGTACATCGCTTTTGTGCATAAAACGCCGAACCGGGGAAATCAATACACGTGAGGCTAGGACGGTCCTTATTTACGTGACTACGTAGATTTTTTCTTTGCCACTGAAGAACTCATCTAACAAGTAGAGATTGTATATGACGATCGAATACCCACAAATCAATTGGACTGGAGCAATGCGGTCTACCTGGGTGTTTCGACTTGGTCAAGCATTTGCCGCCGGATACCAAAAATTCAGAAGCGAATAAGCAGCAGGTAGAAAAGATCAACCAGGGCACATCGTTGTTGGGAATCCCCAACAGGGGGTCGTATTTGGTCCGCCAGGAGAGGGGGGTCGTATTTGGGCTGAGAAAAATTTATTTTGATAGTTGATTTTTCTCGCTTCACGGACGTTGTAAAGGGGGGGGGTCGTACTTGCTCATTGTTGGATTGTTGGGAGAGAGGGTCGTATTTACTTTCTGGCCTTTCTAGGAGTGGTGGGAGTGGTGGTTGACTTTTCGTGATTTTCCTGTTTCATGCGTACTATACCCCCCCCCCTCCCCCCCCCCCCCCGCTCGACACAGCAAAGTTTTTGGGAAACCTGGAGAGAACGCAGACAAGTAACGCCATAGTTAGATGAGTGGCTGGGCGTCCGCCAGCGCGGGCAGAGTTGGGTAGACGGAACATTGGTATAACTACCATTCAACCCTACTCCGTTCCCGTACACTTTTGAGAGGAGAAAGTAGCACGCTACTGAGTTGTGGACCCACTCATTTCGCACAGAGATCAGGGTCCACGGGAGGCCCGAATAGTTCTTGTTTCTTTTTTTCCTTTCTTGAACCTTTCTAGCATCACATTTTGTCCAAAGTTGCTTATGCAATAGATGGGTTGATAATCAGTTATGGGAAGTGATGTGGGGTTGTCACGAGGAGCTATGGGATGACCCGAATCACCACATTCTCTACCACTCATTGCTTTCTCCGTCAATCAACCACTTGTCGATCACTATTGGTAGAAAATGCAGTCAAATGAGTTCACTCCATGCCTCCTTGACGCGCCCCGACTGATTGCTGCGATGGCCACTATACCGATCAGTTGCTTTTCAGGTTGCTTTTCAGGATTCCGTACAAGTGTGGTCTACGGGAAAGAACATCGCCTCTGCTGATGTGAATAAATTCTAACAACCCACGTCTATTTCTTGATATATTTCGCAAAGCTTCAAGAATAAATTCGTAAAGAAGAATGAATATAAATTTTTAACACATCATAAATTGTTCAAATGTTTACGAGATTGACTGAACGTAGACCGCACTGTACAA